AACTTCAAAAACAGACTCCAACAAGAGACTGCTGAATTGGAATTAATTTGCAAATTGGACACCATTAAATTAGGCTTGAATAAAGACTGGGAGTAGATGGGTCATTACACAAAGTAAAACTATTTCCCCATTTTTATCTCTCTCTCTCTCTCCCTCCCTCTCCCTCCCCCTCCTTCCTCCCCCCCCTTCCCCCCCCCCCCCCCTCGTTCCTCACACCTTCTTGTCAACTGCTGGAAATGGGCCATTTTGATTACCATTACAAAAAGTTTTTTTCTCTCCTGCTGGTAATAGCTCACCTTAGCTGATCACTCTCATTATAGTGTGTATGGTAACACCCATTGTTTCATATTCTCTGTGTGTGTATGTATGTATGTATATGTGTGTGTGTGTATATATATATATAATCTTCCTACTGTATTTTCCACTGCATGCATCCGATGAAGTGGGCTGTAGCCCACGAAAGCTTATGCTCAAATAAAATTGTTAGTCTCTAAGGTGCCACAAGTACTCCTGTTCTTTTTGTTTATGAAATGTCTCCCTAAAATTTCTGTGTAAGCAGAAGCTGGTCCAGGCTTCATGGTTTGTTCACAGTGCAAGAGACACCAGCATTGCTACTAAGCAACTGAACTGATAGTGTTACATATTGGTGTGTATTTGTATAGAAATAAGCACAATGAATATTCTAAATGTTTCAAGATTTTGTATACGAAGTATATTTAGAACATGTAGTTATAGCTCTTTTAAAAAACTAGTTTCATATCTGGCTATGTCAGAAAGCTGTTTACCAGTGATGTTAAAGCGCTTGTTCCACCAATTGAAATAGGTAGACGTAAGGACATGTTTGGGCATCTTTGTGTGTTGGTTGGTTATTTCTCTAGTGTGTTTTGTAAGCAAGAATGGTGGCAATATTTTCCTACCTTTTAACATCTGTTACTCAAATGTGTGGAGATTGTACCTTGTTTTTGTTTGTTTGTTTTTCTTTTTTATGGCTTGTTACAGAGTCGATAAGTATGGGTATGGTGGGTTGAGCTATGGGTGAATTGCACTGACCCTGGGGGCAGGCTGTCTTTAAACCAACCAGCTTTTTAAAATACTGTGTTTAATTGGCATGCAGAGCGTCTTTAGAAAGATTCATATCCACAAATACCAGACTAAAACTGTTTCTGAAATAGAGAAATCTAGATCCGTCTCCTGCACTGGGCCATTTTAAAAGCATGGCAATCTAGTACAGGGGTTCTCAAACTGGGGGTCGTGACCCCTCAGGGGGTCGCGAAGTTATTACATGTAGGATCGCGAGCTGTCAACCTCCACCCCCAAACCCCGCTTCACCTCCTAGTGTTAAATATTTTAAAAAGTGTTTTTAATTTATAAGGGGGTGTGGCATTCAGAGGCTTGCTGTGTGAAGGGGGTCACCAATACAAAAGTTTGAGAACCACTGATCTAGTAGGCCATTTGTTACAACTCATAACACAAGAATGGCAATACTGGGTCAGACCAAAGGTCCATCTAACCCAACAGTGACCAATGCCAGGTGCCCCAGAGGGAATGAACAGAACAGATAATCACCAACTTATCCATCCCCTGTCGCCCATTCCCAGCTTCTGGCAAACAGAGGCTAGGGACACCATCCCTGCCCATCCTGGCTAATAGCCATTGATGGACCTGTCCTCCATGAATTTATCTAGTTCTTTTTTTTAACCCTTTTATAGTCTTGGCCTTCACAACATCTGCTAGCAAAGAGTTCCACAGGTTGACTGTGCGTTGTGTGAAGAAATACTTCCTTTTGTTTGTTTTTAAACCTGCTACCTATTATTTTCATTTGGTGACCCCTAGTTCTTGTGTTATGAGAAGGAGTAAATAACATTTCCTTATTTACTTCTTCCACGCCAGTATTGATTTTATAGACCTCTATCATATTTCCCCCCCCCTTAGTCGTCTATTTGCCACGCTGAGAAGTCCCAATCTTTTTAATCTCTCCTCATACAGAAGCTGTTCCATATCCCTAATCATTTTTGTTGCCCTTTTCTCAATCTTTCCCAATTCCAATAGATCTTTTTTGAGATGGGTCGACCGCATCTGCACTCTATTAGCATCTTGTCATAACTTTTATTACCCTGCCTGTCTAAGCCTTATGAGGGGAAATGATATCATGTGTAAAATTAGCAGCTAGGTATGTAGGGCTATTTAACTTATATTTAGGTTGATGCATTTGATGTTTAGTTTCTCTCTCTCTCGTATAAAGGCTACTAGATCCAATAAAAGATAAACAATTTTCTGTAATAGGAGTGTACAAATAGTGTGTGTAATAGCTAAATCTGGTAGTAGCTTAGAGAACAATCAAGATGGAGCTCACTCCTCTCTCAAAGAGAGAAGGTGTAGTCTATACTTTGAGAAGGGGATTGGGAGTCAAGATTCCTGAGTTTTATTACTAGCTCAGCCGCAGAATTGCTTATGTTTTTTGGGCAAGTCGCTGATCACTATTGGTGAAGTGGCTAGCCATTCAATTTTTTTGATCACATATGAAAAGCCAAATCAGATCTATAACCCACTAAACCTCTTCTTTTTAATCCAGAAGGCCTTGCACTGAATAATACTCAATACAACGGGCAAATAAACAATGATTCAAACTTAGATGCCTTATGACTATCAGAGATTCAGTAGCCTGCTACTTGTAAAAGAGCTGTTCCCCCTCTACCTACCCTCCGTGTTTAATTATGGCGAAACTTACCATCCCCTTTCCCAAAAAATGACACTTTGGAGATTACCTAGCTATATGGCATTTTTCATTTTAAACTAGCTCTCTGGTCTATAGCCTACATTTTTCAAAATGACTAGTGATATTTAGGTGCCTACATTTTTGGGTGTCCAACTTAAGTCACTTTTAAAGGAATCTGATTTTTCAGAAAATGTTGGGCACCTAAAATTTAGAACCACTTACTGTAGTACCTAGAGGCTAATGTAACAGTTTGCAAACTAAGAGGGCAAATAAATCAGTTCACCACCCAAACTCTCCGCTCGCCATTCCTTTTAACTTTGTGTTAAGAAACACTTTTCCTTTGTATCTAACCAGGGTAACTAATGTATTCATAATGCATATCTAGATGTATTCTGGATGATACTCTCGCACACAATTTTATCATTTTGTATCCACTATTGTTTTCATCTTTAAGAAAGCAATAAAATATATAGATAAAAATTACTGTAACCAATGCTTTTCTCCACAGTGCAGATCTGTCAAAAGCACTCTCCATATATAGTGTAACAGAATTGAAAAGAATTTTTTGATCTCTAGGGCTTCATGTCTGTCCTCTCCACTGTAGCTGGGATTCATGCTGACATGTTCCTTTTCACGTTGGTATCATCTTAGATGATGATTTCTTAATGTCATGCAAGGCTAGCAGCACCATGGCCTTGTAATGTCACTGGAAGGCATTCTGTAGAGAGACTTGTAGGTTAACAGAAATCTCCACACTAGTTAATGTCTTTACACTATGGTTTCAGCAGTTGTGCTGTGAAGGTATATACAGTACAGTAACTCCTCACTTAAAGTCGTCCCAGTTAACGTTTCAAGTATGAGGAGGTAGCCGTGTTAGTCTGCATCCACAAAAACAACAAGGAGTCCGGTGGCACCTTAAAGACTAACAGATTTATTTGGGCATAAGCTTTCATGGGTAAAAAACCTCACTTCTTCAGATGCATGGAGTGAAAATTACAGATTACGTTGCTGATCAGTTAGGGAACATGCTCATTTAAAGTTGCGCAATGCTCCCTTATAACGTTGTCTGGCAGCCGCCTGCTTTGTCCACTGCTTGCAGGAAGAGCAGCCTGTTGGAGCTAGCTGGTGGGGGCTTGGAACCATGGTGGACCGGGAGCCCCCCAGCAGCTCCCCATTCCCCTAAGTTCTCTGTGCGGCAGCTGCCTAGCAGGCTATCAGTTGCTGGCAGTTCAGCTGTCCCTCGCCCCATTGGCATGTGCTGCTCCTGCCCTCTGCCTTGGAGCTGCTCCCCGGAGCCTCCTGCTTGCTGTGCGGGGGGAGGGGAGAGGGGGGCTAATGTCAGGGTGTTCCCCTTCCTCCTGCTCCTGTACCCCGCTTACCCCATCTTCCATAGAGCGGGGGGGGGGGGGAACAGGACGACACGACAGGGCTCAGGACAGAGGGAGCTTCCTGGCAGCAGCTGCCGTCTCCACTTGCTGATCTACTTAAAAAGGCAGCGTACTTAAAGGGGCAATGCACATCTCTCTCACACACACATATAGTGTGTCACACACACATAGTGTGCCATGCTGTCTCCTCTCCCTCCATTCATGCTGCCTTGTAGAGTGTGAGGCTACATTAACGACAATCAGCTAACCCTTGAGGCCTCAGCCAATTGCTAGTTCATTATTTAGCAGTAAGGCATTCCCTGGGAAATATCCCACCCTCTGACTTCACCACCTCAACCAAGCTTCACAATCATCATCGCTGGGTACCAGTATTAAATTTTGTTTAAAACTTATAGAGTATGTGTGTGTGTGTGTGTGTGTGTGTGTGTGTATATGTGTGTGTGTGTGTATGTACACGTCTACCTCGATATAACGTGACCCGATATAACACGAATTCGGATATAACGCGGTAACGCAGCGTTCCGGGGGGGCAGGGCTGCGCACTCCGGTGGATCAAAGCAAGTTCAATATAATGCGGTTTCCCCTATAACATGGTAAGATTTTTTTTTGGCTCCCGAGGACAGCGTTATATCGAGGTAGAGGTGTATATCTTTTGTCTGGTGAAAAAAATTTCCCTAGAACCTAACCCTCCCTATTTACATTAATTCTTATGGGGAAATTGGATTCGCTTAACATCGTTTCGCTTAAAGTCACATTTCTCAGGAACATAAGTACAATGTTAAGCAAGGAGTTACTGTATACTATAAACTGCTTCTGAAGTCCCTTTGTAGAGAGGGAGAGCTATCTAGAGGCAGTAAAATGGATCATTCTGGGTTGAAATTTGATGCTTAGCACTGAAATGTGAAATCCTGATTTGGAGAGGGATGTGGGGATGTTCTTGGTGTCAGTATTTAATATCAGTATCTGCTGCATTCCACAAAGTTATGATCTCTGTTAGAAAGCTAAACTGATTTTTTTTTCTCTTACTGTTTCAGTGTGTCGGTCTTGTCTCAGCATGACTTGAGCCTGTAGTGCATTCTTTATAATGATTGTTAACTTGCAGTATTTCTCTCACTGAGTTAGGAGGAAACCTACCCTTTTAAAAAAATTTCCTGTATGCAACTTCTGGCAGAGGCTACTAAGGAATTAAAGTACTGCCAGTCTCTATAGAAGCACTTTACCAATGGTGTCCAGTACAAGTGAAATTAATTAGTGTGATTGTAGTCAACGTCTCCTCACTGGAAGCAAAGTGTTTGTTTCAGTCTAGTGAAGCGTGCTTGTTTCATCAACTTCTGGCCTGAACATAAAGAAGCGAGAGGATAAAGTCTGAAGTTAGTTTTTTTTTTTTTTTTAAATTACCTAGCTGTGTTATTTAATAACATCTTAAATGCTTGAAACTGAAGAGATTTTAAAAATCTAATTCTAATCACCTTTTTATGTTGCTCTGTTTACCTTTTGCCCTTTCTTCTGATTGTATTATGAAATTAGACTGGTCAGTTAGTTTCATTTCCCGTTTCTCATACATTAGAACAATGCTACAGAACTTGGGTTGCAAGCACAATCTAGAGGAGTGCTTAAAAGTGGGAGGGAAAAACTTGGAACTTCCCCTCTTTCCCCCCCCCCCCCCATTTTATTCTGTATAAAGAAGGCATGAGCGGTTATTGCTTTTTCAGAAAAGAATGGACAGGGGTGTTTCTTTTTTCCTGTTACAGTGGAATTTAAGGTTTTATCTATCCTCAAACTCTATGGTGACTGGAGATAAGTGGTGCCATCACCAGAATCACGTGAAAGTTGAGCGATTGAGCGAGCAAGGGCTGTTTAGCTACACTATTCAAAAATGATTTTTGGTTGTTAACATGTTTAATTTCAGTGACTGACCATTTTGGAGATATCTTTAATAAATACTCAACCCCCATACCCCTTTAATTAAGATGTGAGAGCACACAGTATACATCTTCTGAGACGTTGTGGAAGTCAATGGTATGCAAGGCTTTAGGACAAATTTTGAAAGAAACAATGAAGAAAGACATGGATGTAAATGGAAAATGAGATAAAATGCAATATGGGTTTACTAAAGTTGGGTCATATTAGACTAAACTGATTTTTTGATGATTGATTTCTTAGACAAGGAAAATGTGGTAGACCTAATCTATCTTGACTTCCATAGAGCATTCATATGATAACACATGGGTAATTATTATTTAAGATGAAGAAAATAAGCATTAGTACAAGTGAGGAAGTAGCTAAAGGGGGAGATAACAGTGGGTTGTGCTGAAAGGAGAATCATCAGCTGGAGAAACATTTCTAATGTAATTCCTCACTGATCAGTCTTGGGCTGAGTTTGCATGTAACATGGTGGCAAGATTCGTCTGCTAATTTACATTACTAACAGGTGTTAAAATTTAACCCAAAAAACCTTTTTAGCTTTTTTTCCTGGAGGAGAAAAAAAAATAATCAGGAGACCCCACAAAGTCTTTATGAAATTAAACATGTGATCCATTTCATAAGCATTCCTCAAATGTAAGAAGGCTCATAATCAGGGCCGGCGCTTCCACTAGGTGACCCTAGGCGGTCGCCTAGGGCGGCAGGATTTGGGGGGCGGCATTTTACCGTCCTCGGCGGAAATTTGGTGGCGGGGGGGTCCTTCCGCTCCGGGTCTTCGGCAGAAATTCGGCGGCGGGTCCTTCACTCGCTCCGGGACCTGCCACCGAAGTGCCCCGAAGACACGGAGCGGAAGGACCCCAGCCGCCGAATGCTCAGAGGAGGTGCGCTGCCGCCTAGGGCACCAAAAACCCTGGCTCATAATGACAAGCTTGCAGTCCTGTAAGCAGAACACAATAGAATAATGCAGTTCCCTATCTACTAGCAATCTAAATCAACTACTCTTATTTCTGGCACTAAATTACGATTTATTTACCAATTTATTAGGCTTTTCAGGACCTACCCTCTTACAAAGTTTTTTGATAAAACCAGTCTAATGTGCTAAAACATGCTGAGTTGGCTGGACAGGAGTTGCAGGTCTCTTAAAAATTGACAACATCCTGAACTCAATTTTTCAGCCTTCTGTGATTTTTACTTACAGTTTTGCACCATTTTTATTCAGTGACCTGTGACAGAACCTTCTTCATGAATATGAATCTGTGTTTTAAACATTGCATCTTCAGTTATTAAAGAAATAATTCCGAATTTTGTTCCATGAGCCATGTTTCATCCTTTTCTCTTCTTGACTCAACTTTTGACCTTTGTACAGTAGAACCTCTGTTACGAACACCAGAGTTAAGAACTGATCGGTCAACCACATGCCTCATTTGGAACCAAAAGTTGCAATCAGGCAGCAGTAGAGACCAGAAAAAAAAAAAAGTACATTACTGTGTCAAATGTAAACTACTAAAAAAATAAAGGGAAAGTCTTAAAAGATTTGACAGGCTAAGGAAACTCTTGCTTGTTTCATATAAATTAAGATGGTTAAAAGCAGCATTTTTCTTCTGCATAGTAAAGTGTCAAAGCTGTATTAAGTCAATGTTCAGCTGTAAACTTTTGAAAGAACAACCATAACGTTTTGTTTAGAGCTAGGAACATTTCAGAGTTACAAACAACCTCCTTTCCCAAGGTGTTTGTAACTCTGAGGTTCTACTGTGTTTAGGATCATTCATGTTAGCCAAGTAACAGATCTCCATAGTTCATTTTAATAGCTTTTTATATTTTTATCCTTGTGTAGTTCCAGTTTTGATAATTTGATCAAGCAAGACTTCGGCTGAGATTAAGGCCATGTCTACATTAGAGTTAAGACGACTTCATGTAAGTCGACGTCAAGCCTCCAATTAAGCAAGTCGATCTTGCATGTCCACACTACGCTCATTGTGTGGCGGAGTGATCCTCACTAGCAGGGCTTGCATCAACACACAGAGCACTGCACTGTGGGTAGCAATCCCACAGTGCACGTAGGTGAGTGGAATTTTGGGTTGGGCTTGCAATGCCTTATGGAGCCAAAACATTGGCGTGGGTGGTTATGGGAACATAGCGTTAGCCTCCCATGATGCACTTACCTATCTTCCTCCCTGAAATCAATGGCAAACAAACCAAGCCTTTTTCTCACCTTTATTTGTAAGCGTGGGTTACCCGCACGCACGCCATAGCATGATAAGCATGGACCCTGCTCAGCCGTACACTGTTTTTGTGAAAAGAACGAGGAGTACTTGTGGCACCTTAGAGACTAACAAATTTATTTGAGCATAAGCTTTCGTGGGCTAAAACCCACTTCATCGGATGCATGCAGTGGAAAATACAGTAGGAAGATATATGTACACAGAGGACATGAAAAAATGGGTGTTGCCATACTAACTATAAAGAGTAATCAGTTAAGGTCAGCTATTATCAGCAGGAGAAAAAAAACTTTTGTAGTGATAATCAAGATGGCCCATTTCCAACTGTTGACAAGAAGGTGTGAGTAACAGTGGGGGGGGGGAAATTAGCATGGGGAAATAAGTTTTACTTTGTGTAATGACCCATCCACTCCCAGTCTTTATTCAAGCCTAATTTAATGGTGTCCAGTTTGCAAATTAATTCCAATTCTGCAGTTTCTCGTTGGAGTCTGTTTTTGAAGGTTTTTTTGTTGGAGTATTGCGATTTTTGAGGTCTGTAATCAAGTGAACAGGGAGGTTGAAGTGTTCTCCGACTGGTTTTTGAATGTTATAATTCTTGACATCTGATTTGTGTCCATTTATGCTTTTGCGTAGAGACTGTCCGGTTTGGCCAATGTACATTACTGATTACTCTAGTTATAGTTAGTATGGCAACACCCATTTTTTCATGTCTTCTGTGTATATATATCTTCCTACTTTATTTTCCACTGCATGCATCCGATGAAGTGGGTTTTAGCCCACGAAATCTTATGCTCAAATAAATTTGTTAGTCTCTAAGGTGCCACAAGTACTCCCCGTTCTTTTTGCTGATACAGACTAACACGGCTACCACTCTGAAAACTGTTTTTGTGAGCATTACAAACAACTCGCGCCTTATCCTGCAGTATTTACACAGCTGATACAGGAGCCGCCGGATGGAACAATGTGATACCATGCAAGCAGCCCTGCTGGAAGACCTAGAGCAGAGCAATTTGCAGTTGCTGGCAACAGTCACGCATCACCTTGACATGGTTGAGAGCTTTTTCTGGGCCCAGGAAAGAAGGGCTGACTGGTGGGACCACATCAGTATGCAGCTATGGGATGACGAGCAGTGGCTGCAGAACTTTTGAATGCATACGGCCACTTTCCAGGAACGGTGTGAAGAGCTTTCCCCAGCCCTGAAGCGCAGCAATACTAGAATGAGAGCTGCTCTGACTGTGGAAAAGCAAGCTTCCACAGAGCTATCGCCACTCACAACACCAGACTGTCAGTGGGGCATCAATTTGGAGTGGGTAAATCTACCGTGGGATCTGTTGTGATCCAAGTTTGCGGGGTCCTCAACAGACTTCTGCTAAGAAGGGTAGTGACTCTGGGCAACGTGCAGGACATAGTGGATGGTTTTGCCGCAATGGGATTCCCTAACTGCAGTGGGGCGATAAACGGAACACATATCCCTATCTTGGCACCAGACCACCTTGTCAAAGAGTACATAAACCTAAAGGGGTACTTCTCAGTGGTGTTGCAAGCACTGGTGGATCACAGGGGCCGTTTCACCGGCGTCAATGTGGGATGGTAGGGAAAGGTGATGATGCGAGAATCTTTAGGAACACAAATTTTGTTCAGAAAGCTGCAAGCAAGGACTTTCTTTCCAGACTGCAAAATAACCATTGCTGATGTTGAAATGCCAATCGTGATCCTGGAAGATCCAGCCTACCCATTGCTCCCATGGCTCATGAAGCCGTACACAGGCAGCCTGGACAGCAGTAAGGACTGGTTCAACCATAGGCTGAGTAAGTGCAGAATGGTGGTGGAATGTGCCTTTGGACATTTAAAAGGTCGCTGACGTTGTTTGCTTTCACGGATGTCTAACCTAGTAAGCAATGTCCCCATTGTTATTGCTGCCTGCTGTGTGCTCCATTATATCTGTGAAGCAAAGGGAGAAAAGTTTCCACCGGGGTGGGGGGGGTTGAGGCAGATCACCTGGCAGCCAATTTTGAACAGCCAGACATCAGGGCAATAAGAAGAGCACATCGAGGGGCTCTGCGTGTCCGTGAGGCTTTGAAAACCAGTTTCATCAATGAGCCAGTGTAATGTGACACTTATCTGTGGTGTTCCTTTCCAGATTTTGTCCCCTGTAAACTCCACCCCCACCAACCACTGTGTGTTAAATGAATAAAGAGCCTTTTCTCCTCAATCTATTAAGTTTTATT